AAAAAAGTATGAACAGAGATAGAAATTTGCTTAACAAAACAAACTCTTAGAAGTCAGATCTGGCAGTATGTAGAAAGTGGTTTTGTTACATGGATGGCAGTGTTGGTTCAGCATTGGAAGATCCACTCCCAAAAGTCATCATTTTAACAGAGGAAAGGAAAAACCCATATGATCCAGTCAGTAGTTGGAGAAAAAAGTATTGGACTGAATTCTACAGCTGTTCATGGTAAAAGCTATCAGGAGACTAGAAGTAGAACAGAAATTTCTCGACAGATCAAAGACATGCACTCCATATTTCCAGCAAAAACACCTTATATGAATGGAGAAGATTCAGTGTTTTCTCCCTTAGGTGGGGAACAAGGGCAGATATGCTTACTCTTTATCTGTCCATTAAACTTTGAAACCTAGGCCCAAAACAAAATAGTCTGGAAATAAAATGACACAATTAGGATAAGATTGGCAAGGTAGAAGTAAAATCTTTATATGTTTATGAAATGATCATCTACAGCGAAAATACTAAGAAATTTCTAGGTGCCCCTAGAACTTATATTTGAATTTAGCAGGATTAGAAAACACAAGGTATATATAAAAATTCAGGTCTATGTATACTTGCTATAAATGAAGAATTGGAAATTGAAATTTAAAAGTTATGTAGGAATACAAAAGACCTAGAAAAGTAAAAAAGAAAGAAAAAACAGTGTTGGAAGACATTTAGTACCCAATTTTAAGAGTTCTTCTAAAGCTACAGTAATCAAGGCAGTGTTGGTGTGAGGAAAGACTTATAGATCAGTGAAATAAAACAGAGAATCTAGAAATAGAACCGCACATATATGGTCCACTGATTTTTGAAAGATTATTTAATAGTTACATTTTATACAACATAAACTCAATTCAAGAGCGGAAGAAAAGAAAGTGTTTTCAGCAAATGGTACTAGAACACCTGATATCCGTATATAAAAAATTAACCTAAACCCTTTATTTCCATACTAAAAATAACTTGAAGGGATCTTTGAACCTAAATAAGAAAGCCTAAAAGTATAAAACTTTAAGAAGAAATTATAACTGAAAACATTTATGAATTTAGGGTAGACAAGAATTTCCTAGGATACAAAACACATGATGTATAAAAGAAAAGAATTGGTAAATGTGATTCCATCAAAATTTAGAACTTTAATGACATTAAAATGAAAAGTAGTCCTTAAACAGACCATATTTACAATGCATATAA